CCTGTGTTACAGCCATAACTTTGTATTTGTAAATGTTTGTTTTTAAAAGCAGCCATGCTTTTGAAAAGGACCCTGCCAACATGTTTCTTGTAGCATGGAACAAATCTTGGAATAGATTAAAACTTGCGAAATAAATGGGCTGCTTAAACTAATTTGTCAGAACTAGGTGGTCTTGTTCATTTTTTTTCTTTTTTAAAGACAAAATTTGCAGTGTGTCCCATTGTCACAAATGCATAAATATTCAAAAACTTTATTTACAGCAGGGTTTACAAAATGTTGCCAACTTAAGTGATTCAAACTATTAAGGAAGTTTAAAAATATATTACTGGAATTAGAACTTGGATATTTTAAAAGGCCTTAAATACACTTAAAGCATTTTACATTTTATTTCCACTTGACAGTGTTTAAGATTGAGATCTCCCATATGAACAACAACTGCTTTAAGAATTAACTTCTACAAATAGTACTATTTAGATCCCAGGTTTGATTCTGACATTTTAATATGTTTGTTGCATCTCATTCGGTACCAAAAGGGGTAAAACAGGCACTAATCACATAGGTCCCTTTATGTGAACTGATACATGTTTTGAATAATTAGAAAACTTTGAAGGTAGGGTGAGTCTGTGAGGTATGCTCCTTACGTGTGCAATTTAGTGCTTTCCAAAGGTGAGAGAATAGGGGGTAGCAGTGGAGTAGGGCAAAGGAGAGAGGTGGTGGTAGGAAAGGGCAGGGAGCTCTCTTCATATTTACTTTCCCATGGATTTTATAAGAAGTTGCAGCTTATCACTGCTGCAGTAAAACTGCTGTTAGCTTTGGTTTTGTTCTTAATTTTGTTTTCTATTGAATTATTGGCAAAAGTTACTTCTTATGTGAAGAGAAGGAAGCAGGAAATGGCAGTGAATGAGCTCAAGCTGTTTATTACAGAGTGTGCTTTATTTAGAGACTATGGTATATATAACATGGGAGTCTGGAAACCCGTGTTTAAACTGTGACACCAGTAGAGCATTCTGATCTGGTGCTGTGGCCACCCTGACTTCTGCACTCTGACATTGTTTGCAGAATGCAGGGGATAAGATGCGGTGGGTTTAATTTGATTTTTTTTTTTTCTTCTTGGTTAACCATTCAGTGGAATAATCTTTAAGCTATAATGCCTCATGTGTGTGTTTTACATTTATGTATAATGCTAACAGTTAGTAATTATCTTTGTGAATATATTTTTTTACAAATATTTTCAGAGTCCTTTTAGACAGATTCATCAAAACTCTCGCTTAATTTTATTGCTTTCAATTGTTTTAAGAAAGGAGTATAGGCTTTCTGGAGCTAGCACACTGCAAGAGAGCCTTTATATAGTATCTAGGATATCTTCTGAAGCTTAGCTGTTTCACTGAGTAAAGCATGCTAAGCACCATTCTGGCCTCACTTGAGTAACATCAACTATTACTGGTAGCCTTCCTGGGATTTTTTTTCGGCAGTTCTACTAGTGGGATTTTACTGAATGTTCAGGAAAGTGCTCAGGGTGTAGTAGACTTTGGGCAGTAAAAGAACAGATATTATTACAGTAAGGTAGTGCCTGACAATTCAGATGTTCCAAAAGAGTATTGCTAGTTTTGATTATCAATAGAAATTGTTATGAAAAAAAAATATTTTTTAAGACCTTTGCTGTTGAGAGAAAGTGTTGATGCAGCAAGTTGATAGCACATACTGTTTTGTTTTCTGTGTCATGCTACCTTCTGCTCTTTCAGGACATTAGTCTGCATGAGCCCAAGCACTGGCAGGAAAATTATGCTTCTGCTGTAAAGTAGGGGATAAAAATGCTTCCAGTAATCCAGTTGTGTACACTCCTTGGAAAACTCTGGGAAGAACCAACTCTGGTTGTTTCACTCACTGGGCTGTTTCTGAAAGCTTATAATTTTGGTCTGTAGTAATCACACAGTATTTCAGTGGGTAGAACTGAATCACAGTGTTCACACACACAAACACAAAACCACACCTGACACACCTGTACTTTAAATGTCCTGTCATTTTAGCAAACACACAGGCAAATTGCAAAAATGCACAGGATGTCTCTAACAACTTGGTGAAAATAAGGATATGGTGGGGTTTTTTTCCTGAGCTTTGCTTTTGCCATTATTTACCATCTCTAATAAGAAAAGTGACATGAGATATGTGTTACAGGGAGCAAAAAACTATTACAAATAAGCAAATGGAGCCCATACTTCAAACGGATGAATGTTTATCTGTTGGTGGCCAGTTTGGCTGCAGATGGACTTGTGTATTCTCTCTTGTCATATCAGAACCGAATTTGGTTATGAAAGATAAGGGCTCTCTGCCAGTTTCCTGCTGTGCTAGTGTATTTGATGAGTAGACATTTTTCTACTTTGTTTTATCCATGTCTTAGGTTAATTTGATTTTCTCCAGCCTTCCTAAAGTTCCAAGAGGTTCATTGTAGAAGTGGAGAATTTTAGCTGTCTTTGTCAGGCCTAGTCTCTTTCATTGACACAAGAATATTTTTCTTTGGCATAGTTCACTAGCAAACAATTTTTTTCCTCCTTTTACTGAGGAAGAAGCCCGAGGAAGAACCAAGAAGACTCTTCTTTTGTTGGCTCTGCTCATGTTGCTTGGTAATAATTGTGTGTAATGGAAATGTTAACTTCCCTAGTGAGAGAGCTTTCTCGGGGTTGATACAGAAGTGGGAACAAGAGCAAGGAAAATGCTGTTGGCACTCCACAAGTAGTTAACATTTGTTGTCCTGCAGTTCCTAGAGGTGTCCATAGTTTGTCGCAGGCATTTATGCTGTTCCTGGTGAACATTGCAATCAAGATGGTTATGTCTAATGTATGAATCCATTGTGCGCACTTCCCTCTTCTCAAGTGTATGTATGAGTTTATATAATGAGTATCTAGTAAGGACCCTGTATAATTAATCTAAATTCTACAGGTTGCTCTTAAATCTAATCCATTTCCACATACGTAAATTTTCAGCTTGTGTTTTCAAACTGACTTGATGTATGTTTGCTGTTGGCTTCATGGACAGGAGGCAGGCTGTGTTTCAGGATGTGGTATCACGGTGCACGTTTATCTCTCTTCCACCTCTCCACTCCTTGAAATTGCATTTATATCTTCCTTTTTTTTTTTTTTATCCTATGCTTGAGAGAAATCGGATTTCTGGATGGAGATGTGAGCTGGTTGTCAACTTACTGTGCTGAGGTGAAACTAATGGTGGTGAGGGTGGGGGGAGCACTTAAAAGCCGAGTGGTTAGGAATACATTGTGTGTGCAAGTCAGCATGGGAGAGACATTCAGTAAAGGTGCAAATCAACGTGACAAAGCACACGTGCATCTTTGCATTTTGCAGCTGTGTTGCAATCATCTGTTTGCTTTCCCGGCAGCGTTTCTGACGTGGCTTCTGTGACTTCAGGAGGCTGCAGCTGTTCCTGTTCCTGTTTTACATGTAATGCTTTGGTGCAGTGACCCCAGGCGATCCACAGAAGAGTACTTCAGGAGTAAACCCATAGCATTACATTTAGTACTTCACAAAATCAATACACAAGTTAGATAGTTAGATAAAATCCGTGTTCAGGTTCTTGAAAGAGATTTGACCCAAGTTTTTTCTTTTAGCTATTGCAGAAACAGAATGAAATTAATGGATCCTCTCTTGGGGGGGGAAATGCATTTTAAATTGAACTTGTTCTCGTTGTCAGTGCTTATGTTCAGTGTCCAGCTTAGAGGGTTAAGTTCCTCTGGAAGACAGGTCTTCCGAATTTGGGCTAGGCATAGAACACTTACATTTTCTTATGTCAGTGATTTAACCATTCAGTGCCTGATACTCAAAAACAATTTTCACATTTGATGGCTGTTTCATAGCCAAGTGAAAATTGTTGGAGGTTTAGGAGATGTGTCACTTTGTTTAAAGCTGAAAGGAAAAAAACTAGAACGTTCTATAGCCAAAATCTCTCAAGAAGCAAAACCAGGATGTATACAAAGCCAGCTCTCTAGTTGTTACTTGAGAACATGTTGTTCATTAAAGCTTACTTCCTGCAATTGTTCCCAGAAGTGATGCGTGGTGCATCTTATAAGAAATAAAAATGCTGGAGACTTTGACTTCTAGGGAAGAAGGGCTTTATTGTTCTCAGGATGTAGGAAACAAATCCTGTAAATTAACACTTCAAAGGGAATTGTCACTGGGCATTTAATGCTTTGCAGAGTTACCTTTTCTTCCCTGTGTGGTAAACAGCTATCTCCAGAAACTTTACATCTGCCTCCATTATTTGATAATCATTACAGAGTTTAAAGCTGGTGTAATCTTTGGCCTTTCTACACTAGGTTTTGGTGGTTTAGGCAGTCTTTCTGTCTCCCATAATGTAGCATAATGTACTATTTGCTTCAGTAAAGGTGGCAGAAGTTAAGATCTTTCAAACCATGCGAAACATGACTGCTAAAACAACTGTTTACAAATGCCAAGGAGCTTGCCAAGGATCTGCAGCATGGAGAGGTCTGCTCAGTACCATGGTTGTCCCAAGACTGGGCCTGAGAGGTCTTACAAACATATAAAGAACTTGCTGTCACCCCAAAGTCTGGGGTGCTCCATTTCAGTCATGCCTACCTCTGTGTTCAGAGCAGTCAAGTAATGCTTGAAAAATGAAGTCATCAGACTAGTGATTTTGAAACCTTATCGCTTTAAACTTTTGGAATACGTACAGGGACATGCAGTTGCCCTAAAATAACAACTCACAGTCACATTAAACTGAGGGGGTCAAAGACTCATGGTGGGTCCATTTCACGTACAGGGGAGCGTGCTCTTGAGAGGGGCTGGTCAGCTTCCACTGATTTAGCAGACTTGATGTCATGTAGCACTGCATTTGACAGTTGATTCTTACTCAAATGCATGAAATAGAGTAAAAAATTGGAGGAAGAGCAATGTGGTGGCTGCAGAAGGTTAGGTTAAAGAGTAACAGATCTGTGGGAAAGACTCCTACTGATTCTGGTGGTATCTTTTTTGCAGTTTTGGAACCCTTGTTGCGATTGGAGTTACTGTGTGTGCAGTGATTATAATTACTATTATTCTGTGCCTCACCTGCTCGTGTTGCTGTTTGTATAAAGCATGTCGAAGACCACGGCGTAAGTACCTGTATATTTATTTTCTTTTTCACATCTTTGAACAAGACTTACTGTTTTGGGGTGTTTGCCGTGTCGTGTGTGTGTGTCGTCCCCCCCCCCCCACTATATTAATGTAAAT